CTAGCTAATAAACCTTGCTGATTGAACCTGCACGGTCTCCAGGAATTCCTTGGGCTAGGCCTGACAGCGTGGGAGGGTCGGGTCAGGTGTGCGGGGGTACCCAAACTGCAACTCACCCCCATGTACCTTCCCATCCCTTCCCATGCACCCCCTTGCTCCCTCCCCCATCTGGCAGCACCTGGGGCTTGCAACTTCCTGCTGGCTTCCCCACTGACTTGATTATGGGAAGCCGGCAGGAAGTTGCCTGAGTAACAACCAGGGCATTCACTTAACGATGGCCACCAGGACTGCCAGGATTGCAGTTGCTAAGCGATGCAGTCACATGATGTTTCACCTAACAACCACATCGTTTAGTGACTGAAGCTCTGGTCCCCATTGTGGTTGGATAGTGAGGACTACCTGTATAACAACTGCAATAGAACAGCAGGTAAGATTTCATCATTGTCCAACGCATACCTAAACGAACTGTTCTAAAACAAATAAATGCCCAGAGTATTTCTATGAGCACTATTCATGATGACAGGCTGCAGTTATTACCATCTTTGTTTTGGTAATTTGGAAAACAATGTTTTTCTACAATACTGCTTAAGAAACAATATCCTTCAGATTCTGCAAATGCTCAGAATCCACCTCAATGTGTTCTTTGCATTTCCTTATAACTGTTTTCTGCTGTTTAATATTTTTATGGATATCTACTGCAGACTGTCAAAACATGCTAAACTGCTTTATTTGTCAACATAAGGGCTAATATATGCAAAACAACATCCACCCCCATACTTTTGAAGAAAGTAAGTGTTAGTAATGGGCGTGATTCAGTCTAAAATAAAAGTTTTAACACCTGATTTCAAAGGAGATAATTTTAAACTTAATTCTTTTAGTAAATTCTGTAGATCTCATGTGGATTTAAAAGGCTAGTTGATGCACATTATACTAAATATTAGTATTTGGCCCAGACACACCATTAAAAACCCAATAAAAATACCATACTTTTCTATAAAACCTTTTAGCATTATAATGAAAATTAATACACAACAGGAAAGGAAATTGAAATCAAAAAGTACATATTTTTGACAATGACAGAAACAGGTGAGAAGAAAAAAGCTAACATTTGAAGGAAATCAAAAGCTGAGGTGCAAAAATGAAATAAAATGCATATATGCTAGTTCTGATTGACCAAGACAACACTGGGTTTCTGTTTCTTGAACATCGGTATTGCTTTTCCAGCAGAAACATGAAGTCAAGATTTTCAAGAATGATTAGGCAAAGGGGCCAATTTTTTAAAAAATGTTTTTGGATCCAAATGACCAAACTTCACAAAAGCTTTTAACCATACACAATTATGAAAATGCTTTAAGAATAGTAAGTACAACTAAATCACCCTTTACTATTTTAAAACTGTCTCTACATTCACCTTTACTTTGCTAAGTCAGTATATCTTCCTGAGTACAACATAAAAGGCCTATGGTGTTCATATACATTCCCTCCCCCATGATAACACATTAAAAAGAAACTGCATTTTAATATAAATCAAAGTTAGATTTACTATCCTGCCACACTATATTATCCATAGCTCTGAGTAATTTACCCCACTAAGTTTAAATGGAACCCTTACCTTCTTCATCCTCATCTTCCTCCTCTCTTTCTTCCTCATCCTCCTCTTCACTACTTCCAGCATCCTGACCAGCTTCTGAATCACTGTCACCTTCGTCAAGAATTTCTACATTACAAAAAAGAAATTCAAGTCATCAGAATTTAGGACACAGAAGTGCATTAGAAATAAAAAGCTATGCACAATTAAGAACTTGACCCACATACCTTTTTTCAGAGCTTTGTACTTCTCTTCATTTTCCATAAAATCAGAGTCCATTTTGAAGACATCTTTCCGGAAGGAGAAAAGAAAAACACTGAAATTATGCTAAGTGCTTCCTATACAATTCTAAATCATACAAACATAAAGTTGATTTCAAAATCACACTTACTGAGAACATCATCTGGATTGTATTCATCTTCCAAAGGTAACATGTGGGTAAACTGATCCTCCTCCTCCACAAGATCAAGTCCATCTGGAATCACTGGGTGATCTTTGAATCCATCTTTGCGCACAGCAAACATGACTTCAATCATATACTGAACTCGCTTGTCAGTTTCAGATTCATGAAGGACATGGCGAAGGCGGTCAAAGATGGCTGAGGTGTAAAAACAGTCAGATGGAGACTGCTAATTCAGGTAATTGGAGGAATCAGGGAGGAATGTATCAGGAGCCTATACCTACCATTAACACCTCTGGGAGATACTTCAGTTAACTTGAGGCCACAGTCCTTTAGAAACCCAATTGCTACTTCAATACTATCATCTGTAGGTCTTTCCAGGAGCAATGTGAGCATTTCCAAACATAAAACCTCATGAGCCTGACAGGAAAATAACACAAGTATTAATACAAATCAGATATTTAAAATAGTTGATAAAATACAACACTACTGCAAGAAGTACAATGAGCTCAGCGCACCACATGCTGATTTTAAGACATCCCACCCCACCAACAGTAGAGCAGTTGCAAGTATGTAAAGTTCAAAGTCAGGTGCACCTGGATATGTCTGAAGCAATTCTGTAGATCAGGAAATGGCAATTAGCACGGGGAACCGTTTGAAGCAAAACTTGAACGATCAGCTAGAAAGACTCACTCCAATTCAAACTAAGCTTCAGCAGGCCTTCTACTATGCCTTTGCACAACTATTTGCATGCAGGTGGGAAATATAATGGAGAATGGCAGCAGAACCTCTTTGAGGTTCACTCTAAAATGAGGGGCCCACGCCTTAACCCAGGAAAAAGTAAACCTCTATGCTTCCTGAGAGGATCATAAGGAGGCCTGATTAGGAATCCTCGAGACAAGGTTAAGCAGCCTGCCTCCAGTTGCCTATTCTGCTCTAAATTGCACCCATTTGCTTGTAAAGCTATACAGGTAGCCCTCGCTTAACTTCCCTGTTTAGCAACGATGCTGAAAAGGTACAGGCAGTCCTCGACTAATGACGGCAACTGGGACTGGAATTTCCATTGCTAGGTGATGTGGTCATAAAGCACGACCACATCGCTTAGCGACAGCAATCCCTGCTGTCCCAGTTGCTGTCATTAACTGAATCCCAGAGTCATTAGGTGAGGCAACTTCCTGCCGGCTTCCCACAACCAAATTAACGGGGAAGCTGGAAGGAAATTGCAAGTCCCAGGCAGTTGGAAGCAGGCTGGCAAGGAATAAGTGGCTGCTGCCAGGTGTGGGAGGGTGTGAGGGTGTAAGGAAGGCACGGCAAGGCTCAGGGAGAGTGTGTGAGGTGCGGTGAGGCTCAGGGAGGGTGTGTGGGGATGCACAAGTGCCCAGCACGGTGCAAGCGCAGAGGGGCTAAGGAAGGATACATGGATGGGGGAGACTTACCCCACTGGCTTGCAACCTTCCTTCCCTTCCGGCATCCCCACTGACTTTCTGGGGAAACCAGCAGGGAAGGCTGCAAATGGTAAACACATGATCGCAGGGCACTGCAACTGGTTGTAAGTGCAAGCCAGTTGCCAAGCGCCCAGATCGCGATCACGTGACCATGGGAGTGCCGGGACAGCCAGAACTCCACGGACTGGTCATAACCACCGTTTGTTCAGCACCATTGTAACTTCAAATGGTCGCTGAATGAATGGTCAAAAGTCAAGGACTACCTGTAACTATATGACCAGTCCTCGCACTTACGACAGTAGCAGTATTCCCATAGTCGGGGATTGAGATTCAGGCGCTTCACAACCAGTGGGTGTTTACAATCGTCACAGTGTCCCATTGTCACCTCATCACCATTTGCGCACTTCACAGGCGGCTTCTGACAAGTAGTCAATGGAGAAGCCAGCAGTAAAACTGCAAGCCACGGTCAGATGATGTCTCACTTAACAACTGTGGCAGAAGTGAGGTTGGAAGCCTGCTGCAGTCACATGTCTCCCTTAATGACTGCGTTGCTTAGCAATGGAGTTGCTGGTTCCAATTATGGTTGCTAAGCAAGGAATACCTGTAGTCTAATCACACAACTTAATAAGGTGAAGATATTCATAGTTTTTTTGTTGTTGTTGTTAAACAGCACTCTAAAAAATCCACATCAAGTAAACAACTATTGTCTATATCTGAGAAAGTCCTAACTCTGTGACATTAGTAGATAAAAGTTAATTGAATTTACTATCTTAAAAAATTAGACTGCCATCTGAAATATAAATATTAGAAAGTGTGACTGTTTCATCAATCACTTTATCAGGAAAGCTATGTGAATATGTTTGACGACTGACTGCAAAAGCATAATGCCTAGGTCTCACTAATTCTGGTTCTGATTTTGACATGGTGAATATTCAGGTGAGTTTAGTGTGTTACAAATGGGGACAAGAAGTAATCTAGATGGAAAATGAGCTACAAAACATCAATATGTAACCACAAAACTCAATTTCTTTGATACTTGAGGGAAAATTATACTGTAGATATCAAAAGCTAGAATATGATGTCCCTAATGCCGAATAGCTTACCACATTCTGATTCATAAGATGTGCAACAAACTTGGAAGCTGTCAGGCAAAGTTGCTGTAAAACAAAACACAAAGGTATACATTATTCTAAATTTCTTTATTTTTCTATTATTATGCCAGGATGGACAATCTTCTGAAGCATGACGGCTACACCACACTTAATGTTTGGGGATGTTGCAAGGTCATAAAGCAGAGAGGACCACATCGTATATATGGGAGTAACTTGTTCGGGACATATTTGGGGGAATTTCCTTGTTTTTTTTTAACTATGACTGACTTCAGGCTTATATTCATTTTCAAGTATTTAGTATTTCAAAATGATGGGAAATCACACTGTCATTCTTCAGCAATCAAGATCAGAGGAGATCAAAGGACACAAACAGGGAGTATATAGGCTACAAGTTGCCCATCCCAGCATGAAAGGATTCAAGTGGCTCACAGAAGTATTTAACATTTTACAATTTAAAAAAAGAATAAATCGCCTGTCCCTTACTAGCTTTATTGGAAAACAGACAGGAAATATTTACCAGCAGCCATCTTCTTCAGGTCAAACTCAGATCCAATAAAACCAGTGAGATTAAGTTAGTGGGCCTATTTGAACCATGTTTAAATCTACAATCAGTTTAGAAACTGTATTACACAGTATGGCTTGGTTCAGAAACCTCACTAAGTCACAATGTGGTTTTTCTGCTTTTGGCTTAATATGGCGTGCAAATGGTGTAAAAAATAAACTTTATATTGCTTTAGGGAAATAATCCTAAAGTTATAGCATTTGTGCTCCATTTAAAACTCTAACTGCAAGCATGCAAGACAACAGTAAATAAAAGAAGAATGAATCAGAAAAGGGTGGAATTTGATATAATTGTTTTGTTCATCTGGAAGACTGATTCTGGCTTGTTCAACAAACTTTGGTTGATATAAAGCATGGATTAGCATAATGTGTGAATGTAATAGGTGGGCTTCAAATTGCATTGCTGACTTGGAGCTGGACAACTAATGTTCTTCCTCCAAACACATTACTGTTTGCAGCAGTCAGATTAGGAAAATCAGCTATTACAGGTTGTACAGTGTGTTCACTATCTTAGCCACTAGGCTTTGGGTAAGCTGTAAGGTTTAGTTTGTTGCAACTAACATAGCAGAGCCTTTAAAAGGCTACTTTGATGAATTAGCTGCAATTGAAGTCTGGTGCGTCACAGTAGAAGCAATGCTACTGGTGTTGCTAATCTAATGTTCATTCATGAGCCAGTCCTAATGCAACTGTCACTTCACTGTTATGCTATGGAATTACAAGTCTTTGCTTCTGCTTAACATGATTTGTTCATTACAGACTGATGATTTTATCTTGATAAATATCCACAAAAGGATCACATCACCCTGGGCACAGAGAGAACTGCTCCTGTCTGTGCTCCTGCAC